AAGTTGTCCATTGAAAATAACATTGTAGATGAAGATTTCTTGATATGGGAAAAAATGTTCCCATATCGAGTAAGATAAGCAGATTATAAAATATTATGTATAGCATGGTTCTTTATTTATACACATGTTGTCATGTGTAGTTGAATAAAATTTAGTCAAAAATTTTTGTTATACAGGTAAATATAAGTGAGTGTGCCCATGTGTGCGTTGCATGTGATATATTTGGGAAAAGATTTGGAAGTTTATACACCAAGATTTAGCAGGGACCCTTTCTGGTGCAGTAACTGTCATAAAAATTCTTTTTTTTTTTGTAATCAAAATACTCTAATGTCACATTTAATGTTAGGATATATTCATAGCAGTGTTGAGTAGTTTATTTTCTAAACCCTAATGTTCCCATTCCATCAAAATGAAAATTCTTTTTCTAAAATGACACAGTGAAAATAATGCTGTTTGTAACTGATCAAAGCCTCTTCTCTCCTAGATGTGACAAACTATTTTGAGAGTGATGTCTCTGGGACAATTCACAATTGAATTGCTGGGGTGAACAATTACCTTGGTTCAGGCAGAAGGAGAGGGTGAATTATAATTGCTTCTTGAAATGGATTTGATGTTGAAAGTTCTCACTGATTTATGGCTCAAATCAGGCTTTCCAAAAAAGTTCCCTAAACATATTAGCCAACAAAAATGGTTTACCCATCCAAGCTTAGGAGATGGTATTATAATGAGACATTTAAAACAGAGATCATGAGAATCTACTCAATTGCAAGCGAGCTGCCATCTGCAAGGCTAATGTAATTATATAGACCAAATCTCACCAAATTTCTGCCTTCACAATCTAGCTGTTGATTATGCAGTGTCTTATATTCTTCTCTTCTTCTTTTTTTTTTTTGGAATAAATTATGTTATCCTCATCACAAGTTTCTTAAGAAAAGTGTAATGCACAGCCTTTCCTTTTTCTCCCTAGAAAACCAATACCCAGATAGGGACTCCCGAGGAGAGAGGAATAGATGAGAGCCCTTGACTTATTTTAAGTATTTCTAAATGTTATCCAGACGTAGTGTACTTTCACATTGTAAAGTCATTTGGTCCTACTAGAATGTCAATTTTCTTTGCTCTTGCCTGGAACTAAAACAACATTATGGTAACCTTGGTGATTTCCTGTTTGCTAGATGTGCCTTTTGGCTGCTGAGGACCCTGTAGAATTTTCTAGAGTGTGTGTGTGTGGAAGACCAGCTATCAGAGCCCATGGTTTGGCAGTGAGAAATTGCAAACCATTGCCTAGGATCTAGCCGAGTACCACGTTAATGTTTCATATGTGCTAGGTGGCTTGAGGGGAAAAATACCTTGATTTCATCAAGATATTAAATTCAGTTTCTTTGGCCTCACCTCAAATCATGTGGACCCAGTAACAGGTTATTGTTTGAGATTTTCAATTGCAATTGCTTTGAGGTAGTGGTTTCCCATAGGTGGCATTAGAAACACCTGGGAAAGTTAAAAAAAAAAAGTCTGATTTTACTCTTCCTTGTTCTTCAAGATTCTGAATTAGTAGGTCTGGGGTAAGGCCTAAATGTTCAGCAAACCAACGGGTAATTAACATGCAAAGTTAAATTTAAGAACTGCTCATGCAGAATAACATTCAATAACTTTAAAAATGGGTTTACATTTTCTTTCTAAGTCTAGGAAAATTAAGGCTTCCCTTCTTCCCATCTAAAGCCAAAGGGGATTCCTACAGCTCTAATCCTCTCCAGATGAGGAACTTGTCTTGGATCACAGGTAGAAAGTTCCTGCATTCTCTGTTCTTTCTCCCCCATGTTCTCCCAAACAGGCGCCTGCTGTGGAATGTTCCTTGGGGGAACATGAACACCTCATTACCTGCTAGGAGGTCAGGGGGAAGTCCTCTGTGAACACTGTGACTCTTTTGCTTTCTAGAGGCACTAAAGGTGACTAAGGGTATGTGTCTGGAGTAGAGGGGCAGATAATTAAATGGCTTCCTTACTGAGTAAATTTTTTAACTCAATAAAGAACCAAAAATGCAATTTGCTTCCAGATCACATTCCAATACATGCATCTCCTTCTCAGCCTTCTCCTCTCTTTATAGGACCATTTGTTTTCTAACAGTCTAGACAAAGCTCTTCCCTTGGCTCTTCCCTTGGCTGAATGGGAATTCAAGAACATTTCACCAGATTGGAAGCGGAACCCCCCGAGAGGGTATTATTTGACCGAGTGATTCGGCGAGAATTTTCACGGCTGTTAGGAGAGTTACAAGTAGTTGTCTAAATCATCAAAATCAATATACCCTAATACAAATAAAACCTCAAGTTGAAAATCAACACATGGAAATCCACCTAAGAGAATATTATTTAGAGCAAACACATTTGGGATGAAGAATGATGACATTTAAATTGTTCCAGATGCGGTGCTAAATGATGAAAAACAATTCAATATACACTGGCATGAATAAAATTTGGGGATTAAAAACCTAAACAGAAGAAAAAAATTGGCCAGCAGGATATATTTGGATATCTCAGCAGCACTTATCTCTGGGTGACACAATTGTGGTAATTCTTATTTTCTTGTTCTATTGTATTTCCCTTTATTTATTAAATTTACTGCACGGAACATTCACCTTTCTAATTAGAAAAATAAAACGAATTGGTTTTATTAAGAATACTGGCACAGGCACCAGATGTTGACCTAACTTCCGGTGATCTGGAGTCCTTCAAAGGTTGGGATCCTTGATACAGAACGCAGATCAATGTTTCATTAAGGACAGAAAGCTCTGGGGTTGGATGAGAAGGAAGCCTGGGGCTAGGATTATAATTATAGCAAGTGCCTGGCTGATCTGGGGTCACTCGCTCCTTGGCCACTTGAAATCCATGGCGGATAGCAAGTACCATTGACTCTGATCCTTTTTCTCCATCGAGCCCTAGTATCAAACATCCTCAAATTCTGCAAGTTACCAGCAGTTGATTGGAGAGGGCACGGGGAGCAAGCTACTGTCTTTCACTGCCTTCATTATAGGGTGCCTGCCCCCAAGCTGTTATGTCATGTTGGGAGACATGTGAAAAGTGCAGGGATTAAATGCTCCATTCAAAATGCCCAAGGGAACAATGCCACTTGGCGGTCCACAATCAGTGGCCAAATGAATGAGTGGTAAGAGGAGATGGTGAGAGCATCAGATGTTGTCTGCTACGTACCACCTCTGTCTATATGGTGTCAGATCGGTAAGAAAAGCGCCTCTGCTTCCTACTTGGTGGCTCAAGATCCTCCCCAGTGATCATCGGAGCAGACCTGTCACGGAGCTCTAGCCTGTTGCTTTTTCTTCCTGGATCCTCTTTTTCTTTCAAGTGAGTCAGGAAGGAGGCTTTGCTATGAGAGGTTTTGGCAAATGTGATAAAATATAAATATTCTGAAACTGTAGGAGAAAGATGGGAAAGTTATTTGAGTATCGTAAAAGTTCAGTTGAAAGCTGTCTTTGACTTTCACAGATTCAGTTTATCCGGTGTATCCAATGATGGCCTCTCCCTCCTTTCGTAATCCAGAGTGGTTTCTGAACTTGATCTGGGAAGGTTTGCATAAACAGATGGATTGTGAAATGATAATGGAGCAGTGACCCTGCTTTTGTGTGCCTTTATTTTTTATTTATATGTTGGTACAATGACAGAACAGATAAAGCCTAGAGTGGGAAGCACCAGGAGAGTTAAGCTTTATTGCTGCACAGTAATGGGCTGGGGCTACTTCACTTTAATTTGTGAAAGAAGAGTATTTTGCCATGAGGTCGGATAACAGCAGAATATTTCATATTTCTTTGGACTGCTTGCCAAGTGAGGAAAAGTATGAGGGTAGAGACGAATGTGCAAGATCATACCAACATGTGAGATGGCATTTATTTATTTATTTTTTCATTCATTCATTCTGCTGGGAGTCCAAAAACCTAGGAGTCACTCCAATTTGGCTGCTTATTGGCTATGTTCTCTAGTGTGTTAGGAGCCACAATTTGCCTACCTCCCTCCCTCCTCAATTCTCACTCCCCCTTTATTAGGGTAACACTTCCCCACTTTTAATTTGCATAACTTTCTCCATTGGCTCACAGTGGCCCCAGCAACATTTAGCTGATTGGCTCCTCTGTGGTGATGCTCATTGGGCTGTTTCCCTGCCCTTTCAGACCACAGAGCTCCTCACTGGGGGACTTCTTTGGCTCCGCCCACACGACCCAGCCAATCAGCCTCAAGAGCAGGAGGATTGTGGGAGGTGGAGAGGCGTGTGTTATGGTGAGAGGCTTGTGGGAAGCCGGTGGTGGCAGTTGGGCTCTGAGGTTTTTTTCCTGAGGAGCTGTTTTGTTTGGTATGTGTGATTCTAAAAATAAAGTTCATTTCTTTTGACAAGTGGCTCCTGAATTGTGCCCAGCCAGACTGCAGCACAGTACAACATCCCTGATGGGGGCACCAGGGTGTGCCTGAGTCGTCTTGGCCAATCAGAGCAGCAGCAAGCCAACGAGAGGTGGGTGTATAATCCAAACGGGACCAATAAGAGTGACTCCTCAGACTTTGGTGGAATTTTTAGGAAAAAAAGTCTTCTCATTCACATTGGAGGTCTGTAAACACATTGATGGCCATTTTAAGGCTGCTGGAGAATGTGTTAGAGAATGAAGCCAAAGCAGGAAAAAATAAAAGCAAAAGAAGAGCAAGACATATTCTAGACAAATATGACGTAGACAAATATTACCTAGATCCATCTACTTCTGAAACCAAAAATACACCAACAGTCTTTGTGTTCTGCAAGCCAGTAAGTAAGCTAAGTTGTTTAAACTTTGATTTTTTTTTTTTTAACCATTTGCAGCCAGAGTTCTAATCTGTTAAGCAATATTTCCCTCCTGGGCCTCAAGTTTATTTTCTTTAAAGGATTAGATATTTAAAAAAAAATCTTTATACTGCTTTCTGATTAAAAGAGAAAGCAATATATGCTCATAAAATTATAACCTTGTGGAAAGGATTATTAGGTTTTCGTCACATACGTCGGTTATCTATGACGGCATAACAAACCACGCTGGAATCCAAATGGCTTGAAATAGTATTCATAATTTCTCGTGTGTCTCACTGCTGTTGAGTGCTTCTGCAGATATGATCCAGGCTTAGCAGATTGCGATGGAGGTTACTTATTGGTCTGTGGTCAGCTGGTGCCTTCACTGAGAGCTGATTGGCGGGGGATGGTCTCATCTGCAAATCTGGTAGGGTTGGCTGCTGGGTGGGCCTGTCCAGACTGTGCTTCTCTATTAGCCAGCAGATGCAAGGAGAGGAATTCCACATCTCAGCGGGAAGAGCTGGAAGATCCCATTGCAAACAGCAGGGCTACAGGGAAGAGATAATTGGGTGCTTCTATTATTACCATACAAATACATTCTCTGAAATAATTTCTGTTAACATGCTAATTTTTCCAGAATACAAATAATTTTTATTTTATAGAATACATATTTTTCCTAGAAAATATATTTTCCATTTTTATTTTTGTGATTATGTCTGCATAAAATTAATAGATGTACTATCTTGCAATTTACAGTTCTTCACTTGACTGTACCTTGGACATGCTTTCCTGTGTATGTGTATCAAGCTCTTTTAAAGAGATGAAATGAGGTGACTTCAGAGGCTCTGACCTTCTGGGACTCTGGGATTCTATTGCTTATTATGAACCACATTGAAGAATCTTCCAGCTGTACCCTCAATGTGACAGGAGAACTGCTACAGACCCAAGCAGCTACAAAGTTGATCCTATAATCCTGAACTGAGCCTATGTGTCAATTTCAAGTATTTAGTGACTTCACTCTTGCTGGTTAGAAAATTACCTGTCATTATTATTATTAATTATGAAGATCATTAAAAGGCTGTTTCTGTTGAAATCACAGAAGTTGACTCTAATTAGCCCTTGGAAGTATTAAGCTGATCATTTTAGATATATTGCTGATCTTCTGGTTTGCACCAGTTCAGCAAGTATGCTAAAATTGTCAGGCAGAACCAACTGAGAACAGGTAACCCAGCTGTAGTTAAGTAGTAAGTCAAGTGGCCGCTGAGCTGATTCCACAGCCATCAAGTTGACGAACAATGAGAGACAGAGGGTTATTGGCCTCTGGCTTCTTTCCGGCTTCTTTGGTTTTGACAAATCAATGAAGTCTTTTCTTGAAAGCATGCTTGGAGGATAGTTCTTCAGCACCTTCAGCCTGCAGACAACTTACAGTCCACTAACTGGCTCTGGAAAACCAATTTATTATTTGTTTGGTTATGCTTAAGAACTTTCTTGGAAATTTCAGCTAACACATGTTAACTAAAGAACCATAAGACACTCATGGATCCTATAGTAAGTGATTCATTACTCAAACAATTACCTTTCATTCTTTCTTTCATTTTGTAATACCAAAGTTTAGCCACCAGTGACACTGAGAATTGATCTAACTAATGTGACATGAGTTAAGAGCTGGACTTCTGTATCTGCCTATCAGGCAGAATTTTTTCATTCATTCATTTATTCTCTCAAAAACTATTGAGTATCTGTTGTTGGCTAAGCCTCCCTTATGCTCTGGGCATGTAACCATGAACAAAGCACAGTTTTGCCCCCTAGATCTTACATAGCAGTAGAGGAAGATGGATACCTATAATGCATTTGGAAGAGTTTTATGAACAGACATCAGTGTCATAGTCTAAAAGTGAGTTGAGATGTTTTATAAAGATGCCTAAAATGTGGCCTGAATTATATAGTAATAATGTAACAACAGCACATGCTTATGTGGAGTCCTTTGAAAACACTTGGTATGAATTAACTCATATAATCCCCACAAAACATCACAAGTACCAGTGTTGTCTTTATTTCCACAGAAAATACATCTGAAGCATAGAAAGGTTAAGTACTGTATTTGGTATTCCTCAGAGAAACAGAGAAAATTGTGTGTGTGTGTGTGTGTGTGTGTGTGTGTGTGTGTGTGTGTGTTTAGAAAGGGAGAGAGAGATTGATTGATTTTTATGGAATTAGCTCATGTGAAGGCTGTCAAATCTGAAGTCTACAGGGCTGACTGCCAGGCTAGAGACCCAGGGAAGAAGTGGCATCACATCTTGATTCTGATCTGAAGGCAGAATTTTTTCTTCCTCAGTGAACTTTGGTGTTTCTCTCTCAAGGACTTCAACTGATCAGGTGAGGACCATTCACATCCTGGAGTGTAATGTGTTGTAATCAGAGTCTACTAATTTATGTTAATCACACACAAAAAAATGCCCTTAACAACATCTAGACCGGTGTTTGACCAAAAACTGGGTGCTGTGACTTGGTTAATTTTATGTGATAAAATGTATCTATCACAGTCCACCTTTGGCAACCTGGCTCAAGTCTTACTTAATCTACAAATGAAGGTGATAAATAACAAGGTCACGTCTCTGCCTAACATGAAATAAATGACCTGTGTACAGCTGAAAATCCACTAATCCTTTCCCCAGAAGAGGATGCAGAGTCCTTGAACGATATCCACTCCTCTCTTTGATATTCTGTATTGTAAATTCTATGCTATAATCTTAACACTTAAATACTGTAAGGCAAAGCAATCCATCTTGTGTTATACAGGTAAGAGAGTGAGAGAGGGAAGAAAAGATGTGTGTGTGTGTGTGTGTGTGTGTGTGTGTGTGTGTTTGTGTGTGTAAAAACACAGAGGCATGCATGCATCACATATTCATCATAAAATGAAGAAATACTCATAATACAATCCTCCTGTCTGTAATTAGATAGTTATAGTTAATATTGGTAATAACCTTTTTCCATCACCCATTCCATATTCCATTAGGGTGCCCTTAATAAGCACTGTAGTTGGTCATGTTTCTTTACCTGGTGAGGTGGCTCAAACTTTACTCCTGAAGAAACCTGACAATCTAGTTACCTTGCCTGAATTGAGCTGTTTTCTATTGACTTTAATGATGCAGCATGGTAATTCTAAGACAGGCCCCGAGAAATCTCCTTTGTTCCAATTGTGGAGTAACAGTCCAATTCCTTTGTGGACTAGGAGTCTAATTTCTCCTTGGTAATCAGGATCCATCACCCCAGCCAGCAGAGCACTGTTTTCTTTGCCCATCGATCGAGAGACATTAGAAACCCAAACTGGGTGGCAGTCTTAATTTCTATGTCAGTGGAATAATTTGTCTTTCTCCTGGTGAAAATATTCCTGTGTTTGGAACTAAGACCTCTAGACTAGCAGAGAATAAGGTTGCAGGATCAGGAAGCGACATTCTTGCTGGTGGACTAGTACTAGTGGAATCCTCTAGGGGACACACTTCAATTCCTGCACCCACGAATCCTGGCCTTGGGAGACGCAGCAGCAGGCTGGGTGCAGAGCATAGCCAGTCTCCTGGGATGTCTTGCTCCAGGACTGCAAGGTGTTTCCAAAGGCCGTTCCATCATTCTGTCAAGCTGAGGGCTTCAGGATGGTATGGAACGTGGAAAGATCAGTGAACTCCATGAGGATGGGCCCCGTTCTCGACCTTGTTGTGAAGCAAGGTTCTTGATGAGGAGCAGTGCTGTGTGAGATAACAAGGGGGTGGAGAGGCACGCTCTAAGTCCACAGATCTATCATTGCACACAGGAAAGGCACATCTGTATCCAGAGTAAGTGTCTGTCCCAGTAAGGACCAAGGGCTGCCCTTTCCATGGCGGAAGTAGTTCAGGGCAATCAACTGGTTGGTCACCAGGTAGCTGGTTGATCCCCTGGGGAACTAGCACCCTATTAGGATGGGACTCATCATCAGCCTCTGTTGCTGGCAGAGGTTAAGGTCTCACTGCGAGTAAGAGAGTATGGCTCTAAAGTTTTGTGGATTAACTGCTTTTTTTCTCTAGGTGGCCTGTTACAATAAGAAACCTAACGCAAGCAGAAAATGAAATTATTTTCAGAAAAACCCAGATGTTGAGGCTAAAGTAGTAAATAAGATTCAAGAAACCTGCCTTTGATTACAAGTCCGCCAGTAACTTTCTCTATGACATGGCTGATTCTTTTCTCCTCCTGGGCCTCATCTATGCAATCATGGTGTTCATTCAAATTACGGTTCTTCAAATGGTGCTTAAAAAATTTGGTTATTAAAAAGGTTTTGGCAGTGGGATCCAGAGATCTCTTCAGACACAATTAAAGAAGCCAACAGTTGGGTTTGTGGGTGTTTCCCCATTACCATCTTTAACTTTAACCAGAGAAACTTAACTTTTGCCTAGTTTTATTTTTTAAAGATAGAAGGCCACTATCCCAGAAGATTAGCACCTTCTCTCTTCATCATAATAGAAGAATACGACTGAGATTTGGTCAACATTTACTGTATTAAAGTTCTTCGATTGATGAGCTTTCTACCTAAAACCTGTTTTCAGTTATCTATGGCTTAGTGACGTAATACAACCATGTGTTACTTCTTATAATTCCTTGGGTTGGTGGCTCTGCATGGTGCTGGCTGGGATACCTCAGAAAGCTCCATTTGGTGTGGCTGGGCTAGGCTGTAAGGCAGCCCCATGGTTGCACGTCTTAGTCTCAGGATTCTAATGGTTGGGAAGTTTTCATTCTTTAGCTTACCTCCTTTCCTCCTCTGTGGCTTCTCCACAAGGCCCCTTTTACCCCAGGCTAGCCTGCACTTATATAACATAATGATCTCTCTTTTTAATTTTAAAATTTGTTTTAATTAGTTAAACATGGCAGTAGAATTCATTTATGCCTTTTGATATATCACACATAGATGGGATATAATTTCTCATTTTTCTGAGTGTACATGTTGCAGAATCATATCGGTCATGCATATACAGTCACATATACACATAAGTAATAATGTCTGTTTCATTCTACTATCTTTCCTACACCCACATCCCCTCCCCTCCCCTCCCATCACTTCCCTCTACCTAATCTAAGGTAATGCTATTCTTCCCTAGTACCCCACCCACCTTATTGTGAATTAGCATCCTCATATTAGAGAAAACATTCGGTTTTGTGGGATTGGTGTATTTTGCTTAGCATGATATTTTCCAACTCCAACCATTTACTGGCAAATGCCATAATTTCACTCTTTTTTAAAACTGAGTAATATTCTGTTGAATATATATATATATATATATATATATATATATATATACCACATTTTCTTTATCCATTCATCTATTGAGGGACACCTGGCTCCATAGTCTAGCAGTGTTCCTTGTGTGTACTTGAGAAGAATGTGCATAGTGCTCTTGATGTGGTTTATAGACTTCTGTTAGACCTAGTTGGTTTATAGGACTGTCCAAGTCTTCTGTTTCCTGGTTGATATCCTTTCTAGTTGTTCCTTACACGACTAAAAGTGAAGTATTAAAGTCTCAGACTACTATTGTTGTCTTCTCTATTTCTTCCTTCACTTCTATCAGTTTTGTTTCTTGCATTTTGGAGTTTTGTTTTTAGACGCATGTTTATCTTCCT